AGCTCTCAGTTGATCAGCCAGGTGTATGATGTCGCTTATTTGGCCCCTCCCCCATTATTCATTAATTTCCACTAGGTGTCTGCTACTCTCCCCATTATTGCAAATTAGTAAATGTTCAGCTCCATGAATGTTCTAATGGGCTTTTTTGTCTCTGTGCTGAGCCTATAGAAGACTTAAAAATCTGATATGCAGCAGATTCTTCACAGGGGTGAAGCGATTGATTCTTCTCACTTGGGGCTAACTCCTCCTGTGTGTGAATTGAAAAAGTCTGGTCCACTTCAGCATGGTGGGGAGAGAGGGGAGGGTGATGAATTGATGGGGTGGAGGGGGGAAATCCATTCTTTCCTTGGGAGAAAGTCCTGTTCTGTGCTTTTTTATTTCCAGTGGGAAGAATGCGACCTCTGTGCAGAAACAGCCCAAGACATTTTATGAATGGGACCCCTTGAATTATAACATTTCAAAGTTTCCTAAAGCTGTTAATCGGATTAGTTGTATAGTGCAGGAAGTACTTAATACGTATATACAGACACACAATCTCTTCATATCTGAGAGCTGCAGACCTGAACAAACTACCAGACCTGCCATTCTTCTCTCTCTCTTGTCCCTGGAAAACACTTTCTGGCTGTTGTAGGGGAGAGGGGGGAAATAATTGTGCAGTTGGTGATTTGTTGGGCTGTTTTAAAATGCATGCTATGTTAGTCTTTGTGGAACATCTCCAGCTGCCAGGCTCTAGCTAGGGAATATTCTTTCCAAGATCCTACAGATGGGGCTTTAATTAAAATTTAAATCAGCTATTGTTTTTATTTTTAAGGAAATGTTTTCCATGTCCCAGGTCAAATTAGCCATAGAATCATAGAAGTCAGGTCGGAAGGGACCTTGTAGATCTTCAAGTCCAACCCCCTGCCTGGGCAGGAGAAAAACTGGGCTCAAATGACTCCAGCCAGGTAGGCATCAAGCCTCTTCTTAAAGACCCCCAGGGTAGAAGCCAGCACCACTTGCCTTGGAAGTTGGTTGCAGATCCTAGCCGCCCTAACTGTGAAGTCGTTCTTACGGATGTCTAATCTAAACCTACTCTCCAACAACTTATGGCCGTTATTCCTTGTTATGCCAGGGGGCACAAGGGAAAACAAGGTCTCTCCCAAACCCTTCTGGTCCCCCCTAGTGAGTTTATAGACAGTCACCAGGTCCCCCCTCAGCCTTCTCTTGTGAAGGCTGAACAGGTTCAGGTCCTGCAGTCTCTCATTGTAGGGTCTGCCCTGTTGTCCCCGGATCATGTGGGTGGCCCTCCTCTGGACCCTCTCAATGTTGTCCACATCCCTCCTGAAATGGGGCGCAAAGAACTGGCCAGATCAGTTCCAAATCCTTTGAAATGCGTGAAAACTATATATGGCCCTACAACCAGCAAGTGTTCTCCACCCCAAGCTTTTCAGCCTGAGGCTTCGGATACTTCCAAATCTTTTAGCAAGTGTTCTCCATACAGGCCAAAGCCTGGAGGCTTGCGGTTTGGATGCCCCCAAGTTTCACTTGCCCTCAGCCGTATGGATGCAGAAGCAAGGTAAATCAGCTATTGTATTATAGACCCTAGTAACAGTCGCTTGTTAGATGTGTGGCTAGGTGAGAGTCCAGCCACGTCCACCACTAAGATTTCCCTTCCTGATCCCAGTTACTTAGACCCCAAGATAAAATGCTCCCATCTGACTTCTCTTGTATACTAAGAAGGACAGGGATGTGACTGCCCCATCAGTGACCTTTATTTGTAGCATTACCAACTGCAAGTATTCAGATCTCATGGGGCAAGTTTCAATAACTCATGAGTCAAACTTAGAAGTACTAGGTTCAGATTCACTTTCTCTTCTGGTTTTGAGCCCTCAGTGTATCCTTTAGATCACGGCTTTCAAGTGTTTCTTAGCAATCATCAGAATTGGAGAAAGTTATTCCATAAGAACTTGAGGTTTCCCTGATTCCAGCAGCTGGAGATTTCAGGAAAAAACAAATACTGTGACATTTGTGACAAAATTATGGGAGTTGTCAACTTTGCCTCTGAGAAATAAGGAGCATCAGGGCTATTGGAGACAAAATCCATTAAGAGCAAGGTACTCCTGCATTCCAGTGAAGGGCTCACCATGCCTTTTATGGTGCAGTTCATTGTTCCCATCACTTAATTCAAGAACTCTCTGTAGACTTCCTCATGCTCTGCCCCATTTTCTTCCCTGTTCATCTCCTGCTGATTTCTTCGGTCTTTTCTTTTTCTTCTGGCCACTTTTCATTTCGGAACATTCTCCACTGTAAATGCTGCTTTCTAGAACAAACTCTGTCCTCTCCCCAGTTTTCCACGACTGCCTTCTGCTTCATTTCTCTATGGAGAACTACTTTCTCTTTTGTATGTCCATGTTCCTCGCAAGTGAACTTGTTAGTTGAATCGCAGTGAATTGGTACAATCCTTCTGCTGCTTCTAGATCAAAACATCTACTGATTACAGGAAATCTCAGGAAAAGCTTTGTAACTCTGAGAACAACAGGACCATGGAACAAACTGCCCAAAGAAACTGCCTATGGATTATAGTGACTAAAGAAGTTGTTGGAAACCTCCAGTGGAGGGGATTCTGTACAAGAGGCTGGAGAGGCAGATGTCTGGGATGGCTTCAATTTGCATCTCTGGGGGTTGGACCAGAGAGTGATTGAGGTTCCTTCCAGCACTGGTTACTTAAAACCTTTTGTTGTATTGGGTCTGATCTGGAAATGTTTACTCATCTGAGAAACCTAGTTTAGTCCAAGAGTGCTGCCTTTGTAAGGTCTGTACAGCTGAGCCCATAGCTAGCCTCTTATTTGGTAGATATAGTGGATCTTTTCAATTTGTTGAGAATCCCAGAAGAGACAAAATGGCAAGTTCAGGCTCAAGGCAAATATATTTTTACCATTTGTGCCTTTTGATGTGCTCATACTCTATTGGCTCAGCTTAAAATTTCTCAGATGCTGAAACTTTAGAATATTTCCAAGCAAGAACAGATTAATTCTGTATCAAAGTCATGAGAAATGCATCTGTAATAGGGATATCCTGATCACAACTACTAGCTAGTTTGTCCTCATAGAAGCTCTGAAGGCCAGTGCAGGGTTCTCTCTAAGATCTCTCCTGACGTGTTTTGTTCAGTCTAACTTGTCCAAACACGAGTCCTGGGATTTCCTTGTTCAGTCTCTTCCATTTCACCACTCAGTACTTCAGTCTCTGTTCTCCATTGTGCTCTGTGCGGTTCAGTTCTCGAGTCTGATACTGTAAAACTGCTGTTTTGGGGCTAGATGTTTCTTGGTGACTTCAGATCAAATCTACTCAATTTACAAGCAATAATATTTTCTTTCAGCCTCGCTGCCATCTTTGAAACCTCATCCTTGGCTCTGAGAGTCATGTTGGACTGTTTATTTTCTCCACTGCTATAATACTGGAGGTCCTGCACTCATAATTACAACCTTGGTGTCACCTGTGTTAGGCTGTTATTACCATATTTAGTACCATCTGAAAGACTGAAACAGGGTTTGTTTGGGTTCTTTCTCTTCAATAAAAATTGCCTCCAGCTAAAAGGCAGTTGCACTAAGAATAGTGCTAAAATGAAAGATGTCTTTAATTCTTCATATTTCATATGCTGAAACTCTTTTGGATCTTTAAGAGAAGGGTAAAAGGAATTTTTTGGCAATTGTTTGCCTGGGCCTAAGCAGGAAGTCTCTGTGCTTGAAGCCTTAACTGTTAAGGGCTGTACAATGAGGGGGGTCACATTAACACCGTTGACTATCTTGCCTCATTTAGTCCATTGAAATTAATGCAACCTTAGTACAGATTCTTGAGATGCAAGACGCAGTTACCTCATCCTAGTAACAAGCAGATATGCCATCAGCTCTCCCAGCTTGACCCTGCAAGTGCTCTGATAGTGATTGTTGGCTAGGCTGCAGTGAGTCAGCTAGCACTGAACCAAGTGGCTATTCCAAAGGAAAACTGACTAAGGGTGTAAACAGATATGGCCTTTGTGCCACTATAAAAACCCATGCCCCTTGTCATGGCACAAATGCCCCAAATTTGTGGCTGAGACACAGGCGGTATATTTCATGCTGCTATTTTGCGGTTGACATTAGGGAGGTGTGAAGCAGGCCCTATTCAATTCATGCACACACTGGAGGTGATAAAAAGCCTCCCCTGACCCCTCCCTTTCCACAGCTGCACCCAGTGTTCTTAATCATAAACCACTGTGCTTGCTTTTCCTCCTCAGATCCGCAGTGGCCTCACATTCAAAAACTTGTCTAACATTATCCCAACTATGCAGTTGGGCAGGAAATCTCCCCTTAAAAAAAAACAAAAACAAAAAGACGACAAATCCTTGCATCTTGCAAATTTTTTCCAGAATAAGTTAAAGTGGATTGCTTACCTTAAATTTACTTGCACATTTGCAGAAAATTCATTCTATGCTCAAAGAGCACAGTGCTACAGATATGGATAAGATAATTGTTTTTCATACAAGACAGATTGTATCCTTGAATGGTGTGTACCCCCAGTGGCTGGGAGGGTGCGGCTGCACAGGCGGCGGCAGTGGGAGCCCAGCGGTGGGCTCCCACAGACACTGCCAGCTGGGGTAGGGTGATGGGGGGTGAGCGCTGACCGTGGATCAGTGACCAGGGGCAATCATGGATCAGCGGCAGCCGAGGCAATCATGGACCACCCGCAGACCAGTGGCAGGGTGGCGAGCGGCAACTGCCCACAGGGGTGCACATGCACCCACATGGCCCCTGACTGTATCCAAGCTTTAAGTGCAAAATGCAACTTGGCCTTAACTACTGAGCCTCTAAATAGCTGAGAGGCTGCTACTTCAACAAGCGCAGAATCAAAGTTCCTCCCACGCACTTCAGCGGATCTAGCAACACGCTCATGCAAGTAAGATTGAGGGACTACTGCCTCAGATCTAGTCTTACAATAACACCAAAGGAAAAATAAACTGCCCCACGCCTATAGCCTGCACTTACCTGTAGTATGTCTTGTGCTGCTGTCTGAATGCTTTAAGTCAATAGTTCTGTCTATTTGAAACAGCTTCAAATCCTCTTCATCTAAAGCGATATCTCCCCAAAAGGCAGCTGGGAAAAAACACAGATAAATGAAATTACAGTGAGTTCAGCTCTAGTTTGGAAGAGAAGTGCCACTACAGGATTGTAAAACTGAGGAATAATTACCTCTATAGAATGAAAAATGGGAAGAAATAGGAAAAAGTCATGACCTTCCTTTTGAAAAATTGAATCGGAATCATTGGGCTAATAGAAACCATTGCCAAAGTTTAAGATAAGCTGCTTCTGCAGAACAAACAGAATGCATGAAAGGACCTGAATAGCTAGGATTCCTTCAGTTCCCCTTTGTTTCATTGCTGACTGCAAACCAAGTCTTGGGGTGCTGCTTTTCACCCTTTCTTAGTATCCACTTCATTTTGCCCTTTTGACAGGGGAAAATGTAAACTAGTTTGCAGCTCAGATTGACTGGATGGATATTTCTGTTAACTCTGCATTAGGTACTGTAAAATGACACTGCAGGGGGAGTTTTGCAATTGCATCTAGCTTCAGATTTGTAGGGAAGTTCAGGTTCATTATTACCCTCGAGTTACAAGCAGAAGGATAAACACAAAATTAACCTCCCCCCCCCACACACAATCTTTCAGCATTCATGACTTGAAGAAATAAAAGTCTTAGAAACCCCAATTCCTCAAAGCATTGGAAATAAGAATAGCAGGGGGAAAATCCCAAAGCCCTCTATTACTCTAAGCCAATATTCTATGGTCAGTTCTGGAATTTAAACTAAACAAACACAGGTAATGAGCAGTTGATCAAGTGGGTCTTAAATATAACAAACAGGTTCTGAACGATCTGTTAATAAGCATGCAAAAAAAGTTGGGTTACGTATGTTGATTTAAAAAACACAACGTGCACACAAGGCAAATGTATCCCTGCTGCAACTGCAGTGAGCTCCAGAAGTTCTACAGGGAGTGAATCTGACTTGCAGTCCCTAGAAAGGATGATTTCTCCCCTCAGCCTCCACACCTGGAATTTCACTAAAAATGTGTACATTAAAAAAATAAATAACTCATGCATCCCAGAAGAAAAATCACCAAACTACAGTACATGCTGGGGAATCATGAAGTTTCACTAGCTGTCATTGCCATGGCCAGGTATTAAACTGGGAATGGAGTGAACCAAAATAAACTTGAGAACCAATTGTTTCTTTAAAAGATAAAATGAGAACGTGACTGTTAAGTGGAAAAATGAATTAAAAGAATAAAAAGATGAATTATTGTTTCTTTTGAAAAGCTATTGATCATTTTTCTCTTCCTCTTCATTGGAAATTACACACAAGTGCTTGCTCATGACAAGGTATCCAGGTTGTAGCCGTGTTGGTCTAGAGATAAAACATATCACCTCTGCTCATGACAAGTATTCTACATTGCTTCCCATGTGCTTTGTGGGCAATCAGGTTAGGTGTGGATGAATTGCTAGTAGACAGGAGTTTTCCAGTGTTTTACCTGGTGCAAATCACTTGCTCTGTGATGTCGCAATCTGCACAAGGGGTGCAGTGGTTTTGTTTGTTCTATTATGTACAACCCCTTCCGACATCATCCACACTTGGAAAAGCAACTTCACAAAACTACTGAAGATGAATTTCCAAGAAAATGGTTTCACCTGGCTCCAGACAAAAAGCAGGTGCAGTCCCCTCTCACTGGGGTAAGTAAAGCTACCAGGAAAAACAAAGTGGAAATTAAGCAATACCACATTGAGTCTAACTGCCAGCATATGTCTTAGCCTCTCCACAGCTTGAAGGGAAGCTTGCAAGTAGGTTAAATAGACCAGTAAAATGAAGAGCTCAAGATGTAACGCTGTCTAGATCAGCAGTATCAAGCTCATCAGGTCCCATGGGCCAGGTGAATGGCTTAGGGGCCTGTCTGCAGCAAGCAGGCCAGACCTGCCTCATGTGCTGCGTGCAGGTCATGCCTGTCCCAGTCCCACGTGCCCATGCAGCACAGGGAGACAACTTAGAGCACACCACATGTGGCAAGAGGGTTTACTCTGAGACTGACAGGCAGCACCATGAGCCAGATGATCAGGCACCCTGGACCAGATGATCCAGCCTGCAAGCCGTATTTTTGACACCCCTGGCCTAGAGCAACCACACCTTTAGCTATGCCTAGGCTGCAACAGCATTGTTCTTGGCCATACAAGGTAAAAATCATGCCAGTGCTACTGTGGAGCAGCCTACTGGAGCCAAAAATCACAGAAGAAAAGAAACTGCCCCTATCTAGCTCCAAATACCACATAGAAAGGGGGAGAAAGGGCCAGCTCTTTTACTTTACAATTGCTTTCTCCTTTCCTTATGTGAGGCAGGGACTCTCAACCCAAAGCAGTGCTGGGAAGCACAGGGAGACTGGAAGCCAGGATTCCTGGGTCTTGGTGTCCATTTGGACCAGAGGCAATCGCAACTTGCATCTCTCTGTTCACCTGAAGGGTTCAAGTGTTCTTAAACACCTTTTAAAGCATCACAAAGCTTTATAGGCATGGGAGTATTTCACTGTGGCCCTTCTCCAAAACAGGCAGGCAAATCCTCTCCACACATGGCTTGAAAGGAAAGTTAGTCTAGTGGCCAGGGATCCACCACCAGACTTCCAGTCCCCGCTCTGCCACAGATTCCCAATGTGCCTTTGGTCAAGTCCTTTATGGTAAAATTTTTCAAGGCACAGACAACAGCCTGGGCCTTGTTCCCACCAAAAGTCATGATTAAACCACTCAGCCATCTTTCCTTAATCAAAGGACAAGTTAGATGTTTTATGGGCTGTTGTGACCTTTCCACCAGCTGGGTAGAGAATCTTGAAGTCATCATACCTCCCTGCAGGTGCCAATTCTACCTTTGAAAAATCTGAACTTTGCACATTTTTGAGCTCCCAACTGCAGAATGCAGACAGCCATACTTCTCTGCACTCAGCTACTACAGTAAAGAGTGCCCCACAACAACTACAGAAAATACTGTCTTTGATTAATCGAGAGAAACTTAAACTGTTTGCTACCAATATCCCTGTACTAAGTCCCTGTACACTGTCCCAAGTCAGCTACAGAGTATCTAGCCAAAGAACTGGATTGTGCTCAGGTCTCCGTTTTACATCAGAACCTAGCTCGGCTTCCTGGCTGGGTCTGCTTTAATGGAATATTTAACCACATAGTTTCATTTTGGGTACACACTAGGGCTGTGTGAAATGTTGACAGCTGTTTTGTTTCAGAGGTGTTTTGGGCTATTTGGGTGCCCGAAACACTGAATCCGAATCAAAACGGAAAGCTCCAAACTAATCAGAAGGCTCCAAAACATTTCAGAAATGTTTCAGAGATATGACCCACTAAATAAAGCCCAGCTCTATGGACACCATTTACGTAAGGAATAAAAGCAGCCTCAGATGACAGCCAACTCAGCAAGACCAACGGAAAGTCGGAGTTAAAACTGGAAAAGACTCAGAGGAAACAATGACATAGCTCCTTGTGGCACAGTGGTGCTAGATTCCACTCCACGGAGTCAGGCATCACGAAGATAGTAAAGTTTCATCCTTGTGGTAAGAAGAGAGAGCTTCTGGGTGCTATCACAATGCATGTAGTAATGCGAAGCAGTAGAACATTTCATAGAATCATAGAAAAATAGGGTTGGAACAGCCCTTAACATCTAGTACAGCCTCCTGCTCAAAGCAGTACTGGACCATCCCCAACTATATCATGCCAGCTAAGGCTTTGTCAAGTCAGGCTTTAAAAACCTCCAAGGATAGAGATTCTACCACCGCTCTAGGCAACCTGCTCCAGTGCTTTACCACCCTCCTAGTGAGAAAATTTTTCCTAATATTCAACTTAAAAGTTCCCTTGCTGCAACTTGAGACCATTGATGCTTGTTCTCTCATCTGCCACCGCTAAGAACAGTCCAGCTTCATCATCTTTGGAACCACCCTGCAGGTAGCTGAAGGCTGCTATCAAATCCCCCCTCAGTCTCCTCTTCTCATTACTAAATAAGCTCAGCTCGCTCAGCCTTTCCTTGGAAGTCACGCACACCAGCCCTAACCATTTTCACTGTTCTCAGCTGGACTCTCTCCAACTTGTCCACATCCTTTCTATAGCAAGGGGTTCAAAACTGGACACAGTACTACAGATGTAGCCTCACCAGTGCAAAATAGTAGCGAATAATTACTTCCCTCCATCAGCTGGCAGCATTTCTATGAATGCAGCCCAGTATGCTGTTAGCCGTCTTGGCAACAAGGGCACACTGCTGACTCATACCCAGCTTATTGTCCACTATAACCCCCAAGGTCCTTTTCTGCAAAGCTGCTGCTTAGTCAGTTAGTCCCAACCCTGTACTGGTTCATGGGATTCTTCTGTCCTAAGTGTAGGACTTTGCACTTCTCCTTATTGAACCTCAGGACATTTCTTTTGGCCTAATCCTTCAATTTGTCAAGGTCTCTCTGAATCCTAGACCTACCCTCTAGTGTATCTACTACTCCCCCCAGCCTGGTATCATCCACGAACTTGCTGAGGGTGCAATCCATCCCATCTTCCAGATCGTAAATGAAGATATTGAACAAAACTGGCCCCAGGACCAACCCCTGGGGCACTCCAGTTGATACCAGCTGCATTGAGCCATTGATCACTACCCACTGAGCCCAACAATCCAGCCAGCTGTCTATCCACCTTACAGTCCGTTCATCCAACCTGTACTTCCTTAGCTTGCTTGCAAGAATGCTGTGGAAGACGGTATCAAAAGCCTTACTAAAGTCAAGTCACTGCTTTCCCTGCATCCACAGAGCCAGTCATCCCCAAGAAGGCAATCAGGTTGGTCAGGCATGACTTGCCCTTGGTGAATCCATGCTGACTGTTCCTGATCACCAGGGATCCAGGTTTTCTGTTTTCCATGGGAAAATGGAGAAAACCACAGATTTCCCCTTTTAGCAGAAAAATCCATGGATTCTCTGCTTTTGCAAAGAGCTCTTGCAGGCTGGCACAGCTCCACCCTGCAAGAGCTGATTACAGAAAGGGTAGGAAAACCCCAGCCCTACCCAGAGTGGGAGGGGGAAGGG